GAATCTCCACTGAGTAGTATCCAATCTGTCTAGGAGGGGCTGATGAAAAGAGATGCGGACAGGTCTCTTGCGATACAATAGTGAATTGTTATCAGGACTGATTGTTGGAAATGTAAAGGTAGACGTTTTGTGGCAAAAAGAGGGAGTGATTAACTTTGCAGAGGTTGCTGGGAACTTCAAAGAAGAAGAGTGGAGGGTGGAATCTTACCCAGAGAAGCAGTGATACCAAAGATGGAGGCAGAGACGATGACGTGGAGAGATGGAGTGGCTGGGGACTTTGGACCTAGAGAGGGAGAGGGGCTGTGTGCTGATGACAGGGGGGCAGGCTTGCAGGGTATACCTTTGGCTGGTTGATGGTTTGTGGAGGGGATTGTAACCATGGCAATGAAACGATATACAATAGGATGATTGTGAAGCTAATGTTCTCCCATGTAAACTATCATATAATTCACAATAAAGCATTAAAAAGAAGGAAAAAAAAAAAAAAAGGCCGTTAAGAAGAAAAAAGACCAAAATGGATGTCAGAAGAGACCCTGAAACTTGCTCTCAGCATAGATATGCTAAAGCAAAAGGAAGAAATGAGGAAATAAAAGAGCTGAACAAGAAATCTCAAAGGGCAGCTTGAGAAGACAAAGCCAAGTATTATAACGAAATGTGCAAAGACCTGAAGTTAAAAAACCAAAGGGGAAGAACACACTCAGTATTCCTCAAGCTGAGGCGACCGAAGGAAAAATTCAAACCTCAAGTTGAAAAATTGAAGGAATCTCTGAGCAAAATATTGAATGATGCTGAAAGCACCAAAAGAAGATGGAAGAAATATACAGAATCTCTGTAGCAAAAGCTAATGGTCAAGGGTCAACCATTTCAAGAGCCAATTTGATCAAGAGCCAATGGCACTGAAGGAAGAAGTCTAAGGTACACTGAAGGAACTGGTGAAGAACAAGGCTCTGGGAAATGATGGAACACAAACTGAAACCTTTCAACAAACTGATGCAGCATTAGAGGCACTCACTCATCTATGCCAAGAAATTTGGAAGACAGCTACCTGGCCAACTAATTTTAAGAGATCCATATTTGTGTCCATTCCAAAGAGAGGTGATCCAAATTATGCAGAAATCATTGGGCAATATCATTAATACCACATGCAGATAAAATTTTGCTAAAGATCATTAAAAAATGGTTGCCAACAGTACACTGACACAGATTGCCAGAGGCTCAAGGCTGATTCAGATGAGGACAGTAAACGAGGCATATCACTGCAGACGTCAGCTGGAGTTTGGCTGAAAGCAGAGAAGCTGTTATTCAAATAGAACGATTTATAATCATGAATAATCACGAAAGGCGTGCGCCACGGTTGTATTCTTTCACCATATATTCAATCCATATGAATAGAAAATCTGAGAAACTGGATTATATGAAGAAGAGCGTGACATCAGGATTGGAGGAAGACTCACTGACAACCTGCAATATGCTGGTGATACAACTTTGCTTGCTGAAAGCAAAGAAGACATAAAGTACTTAGTGATAAAGATCAAAGACCACAGCCTTCAGTATGAGTTGTACCTCTCAATGTAAACAAAACAAAAATCCTTACCACTGGACCAACAAATAACATCATGATAAATGTAGAAATGATTGAAGTTGTCAAAGACTTCATTTTAATGCACTATCAACACTCATGGAAGCAGCAGTCTGGAAATCAGATGATCTATTAGGCAAATCTGTTACACAAGACTCTTAAAAGTGTTCAAGATCAAAGATGCCAGTTTGAGGACTAAAATGTACCTCACACAGGCCATTGCATTTTCAATAGCCTCATAGGCATGTGAAAGTTGGACAATGGATAGGAAAGACCATACAAGTACATTTGAGTTAAGGTGTTGGAGAAGAATATGAAAAATACCACGTACTCCCAGAAGAACAAACAAATCTGTGTTGAAAGAGACACAAGCCAGAGTGCTCCTCGGAAAGCCAGGATGGCCAGACTTGGTCTCTCATACTTTGGATATACTATCAGGAGGGACCAGTCCCTGCGGAGGGTTGGAGATAAAGAGGAAAACCCCTAATGAGATGGATTATCACAGTGGCAGCAGCAATGGGTTCTAGAGCAACAACGATTGTGAGGATTGCACAGGATTAGGCAGTTTGGGGTTCTGTTGTGCAATGGTAGCTGTAAGTTGGAGCCCACTAGATGGCACCTAACAACAACATTATAAAAAAATTTTGACAATGCTTTGCACCAAGACCCTTTGGGCACAAGCTTTCACATCTTGCATCTGTTTGACCATCGTGGAAAGAGTATTTTGTATTATGCAGTGTTAGGGATACAGTAGGAACCTAACAGCTGGTTTAACTGCACCCTAACCCCTGGCATTTGAAGTACCAATTCCAGGAAATGGAGCACAGCACACCTTCTGAGAAACAGCAGAGCAGTGTAGCACTGTATGATAAATACCAGATGAAAAGGTCGATTTGAACCACAAGGTCGGCGGTTCAAATTCACCGGTCGGTCCTCGGAACCCCTATACAGGGGTGGCAATGAGTCGGAACGGACTCGTAGGCATTTAGCAACAAGGCCACCAAAAGGGGTGCAAATTAAGAATTTGCAGGCTTATATAGGCCCTGCCACCAATCATAATTAAACCTGAGAAAGAAGCCACGAATCCTATAAAGGAAAGGAAGAACAGGAAACAGGCGCGCACTCCAGGGATGCCTGCTTCTCCTCTTCTGAGCAGTGTACTTTCAGAGCTTACTACTTGCTGCTTTTTGTCTGTGTGTGCTGTTTGCGCCAACCGCGTGTGGGTCTTGCTAGACCTGCAGGGTATTGTGAACTAGAATGTTTTCTTTAGGGTAGAAGGTTAGGTCGGTATCAAGGTTAGAGGAACTGTTGATGGAAAAGGCAGTTTTTAAAAATTCAACAGTTTTAAATGGAGCTAAAGCTGCAGTGGGTTCTATGAAGAAAAACGTGGTGTCAGGATTGGAGGAAGACTCATTAACAACCTGCGATATGCAGATGATACAACCTTGCTTGCTCAAAGTGAAGAGGACTTGAAACATATACTTATGAAGATCAAAGAGCACAGCCTTCGATATAGATTTCATCTCAATGTCAAGAAAACAAAAATCCTCACCACTGGACCAATAAACAACATTCTTATCAATG